TATATATATATATATATATATTTATGTAGGTATGTGTATATATATAACTTTATATATATATATGTGATTATATTTACAAGTACTTATATGAAATGCATAATTAAATTAAGGTAATTGGTATATTCTTGCAAATATTGTAGTTTTTTCATTTTCAACTATTAAATTCATTATTTAAACCCTAATTGCGATGGGAGATGGGGAATTGTGGAAGACTTTATGTTATAGCGCTACCCATAACATCCATTCTTTCAATGGTGGCACTTATAATAAGTTCTGGTGAATCACATTATTTATTAATTGTTAAAATCGAATTACAAATTTATATATTTACTGCAAAACGGGATAAAAAAATTAATTATTTTTATATTCTCTTCATTAAGTAACGCTCCGTTCTGGTAATTTTTCTTATCGTCTTTAATACACACTTCAGATTATTCATAATTAAAATTCAAAAACATTCATGATATATACTCATAAAATAAACGTCTTGATTTCTCTGGCGTTTTATGTATAGGTTGCCTGCAACTTCACAAGAATCAACAAAGAAAAACACATTAGCGCGACACTTAAGGCCTCAATTACGCGAAAATGCAACATATCACCACAACAACAACAACAAAGTCAACAAAATTCTTACAAAAACACAAACAACAAAAGAAAAATGGAATTAAAAATGAGTTTCAACAATTTTTAGTTTCACAATAAGTCTCCCATGTAGGATGCAGAACACATAAAGCTGTACCGAGATCAAGGAAATGAGGCTCAGTTTCAAATTAATGGTTACTTTTTGTGCTGCCAGGAGGTAAATGTGGCGGTATTGTGAGGCCCCCGCGTGAAATACTCGCACAGCAAGTAACCGAATGAGTAAAAATTCTATTTAACAAAAGTGAAATGCGAATACGAACTCAAAAACATTAACACACCAAACAAATGTGTAACTCCATCGATGTCCTATGCATCGAGGATGGAATACGAACCACCAAGCACCGATTGCTATGATGTCCTGCAGAAAGAAGAAAATATGAATACGTAGCAGGATATACGCATGTTGGCGTTTGCTTTGTCTTTGTGCAAATGCAGGCTACGGAAATTCCTACCAAATGTGCATTTTGCAAACAAATAAATAAAAAAGTATAGACACAAGGAAAGGAGTTTACTCCACACACATAAAACCTTTGAAAACTTTTTACGAAAGCTTGAGGATTGTATTGTGTATATATAGACCTAGCAAATGGAAGTTTAAGGCTTCCCACGAATTTTCAAAATAATAATTATGATTTATTTGATTCTCTAATTTATTTTAAATTAACACAAAAAATTAAAAAATTCAAATAAAATGTTACGCTGGCTTAGGGTGTTAACACCGGAGTCTATTATCATAATCGACAGGGATAAGTTTCTGATTTCTACTGGCTAAAATTCTATAAGAACAATTAAGCCAAGTAGTATTTTTGAAGACTAGTGATAATGAATTTTTGCCGGGGTCCAAAACAGCTAACTGGACAAAGAATTCAGCTTATTGGAAATAAAATGTTTGTACTTAATTTACTGGAAAAAAAATAATTAATTATATTAAGTAATTAATTACAAATTTTGAAATAAAAATTACATTTTGAAAACCGAAAATCTGTTATTATTATGTTGAAGCTATTTGAGCCAGTGCACTTGAATACTTTTACTCTATTTTAACTCGAGGTATTTTGAAAACCCCTCTTTACGCTTTGACTGGATTATTTTTGATTACTTCACCAGACTAAGCAATAATTGACCTCAGATCTCCATACCTCCCCGACGGTCCTGTAACCATTCTAAGATTCGATAAGGCGATGTTGGTAAGTCTGTCATTTTTTGCAAATAATTTCAGGGCTCTATCCTTTATGTATTTTTTGATGGAATTAATCTTGAGGTCGCTGAGGATGACATTCGTCCTAATGTACCATGATACTTTGAAAAGTCTTCTCAGAGTCTCAATTATATTTTTATATATTTATGATTTTTATTATATGCAAATAAAATATTATATGTATTCCTGATAAATTCAGGCAAAAATATATTTGGACTAAAAATTTTTATTTTATTT